CTGGTCTACATAGTGAGTTCCAGGCAGGCTGGGACTAAGGAGACTCTGCCAAAATAGGAAAGGAAATGTGAGGTTAGGGATTCAACTTCATGGTAGAGCACTTACCTGCCAAAAAAGGAAAGGAAATGTGAGGTTAGGGATTCAACTTCATGGTAGAGCACTTACCTAACAAATGCAAGGCCCTGAGTTCGATCCCCAGCACTAGAGGGAAAACAGAAAGAAATGGGACTTTAGGGTTTAACCTGTTTTTATTTATTTAATGTGTAATGTAAGATCTCAGCATCTAAGCATGTGTTTTCAGTTTGAAGTATACGCTAATCTTTATCCACATGTATGGTTATGAACTGGATAGCTCAGCAATTAAGAGCACTGGCTGTTGCAGAGGACCCGGGTTTGGTTGCTATCACCCATATAGCTGCTAACAACCATCTATAACTCTAGTTCCGGGGGAACTGATGCCCTCTTCTGACCTCCATAGACAGTGCATGAACTTAACATACATGCAGGCCAAACACTCATACACATAAAATAAAACAAAACAAACACGAAACCAAATTTGAACTCTTGGTTCTAGTCCCTTGTTTGTTTTTGTTTATTTTTCCATAGACTTTAGCTATCATGAAATAAATTTAAGAAAGCTTGTTTAGCCAGGCAGGTTGGAGGATGCCTTTTTTCCCAGCACTCGGGAGGCAGAGGTAGGTGGATCTCTGTGACTTCAAGGTCAGTTTGGTTTACTTAGTGAGTCTCAGGCCAGCTGGAACTACAGGGAAGCCCTGTCTGAAAAACAGACCAAAGAAAAAAGAAAGCATGTTTACGTGGCATCTGATAGTCTTAATCCCCCAAACCACTGGCACATGTGGTGAGTAGGAGCATCGTGTTAAATGTCTAAGGTTGCCCTGTCTTTTTTTTTTTTTTCTTTTTTGGTCTTTTTGAGACAGGATCTCCTGTACCCCCGGTGGGCCTGGAACTCACTATGTAGACTAGGCTGGCCTTAAACTCACCACCATGCCCTGTCCTCTTTGAAATGCTTGTTCTTGTCGTTTGTGACCATCACCTCAACTGTTTGTACTATTTTATTTCTCCCAATTTAGTTGATCATGGCCTTGCCAGGTTGGTGACAGTATACTGTGAACATGGCCATAAAGCTGCCCAAATCAACCCCCTCTTTCCTGGACAAGCCCTGCTGGACACTGTGCCTGAAATCCAAGCCCTTGTGCAGACTCTGCAGGGTCCCTTCACTACCACAGGTAAGGCAGAGCCTGGGTGGGAGAGGAGAACTGCCCACAAGAAGTGATGGCTTTGCTCTGTTTTTGAAGAACTCTATGCCCTACATGTTTCCATCTGCCCCCTGTACCTACAATATGGCACATATGTCCCCTTCCCTAAAAAAAAAAACAAAAAAAAATCAACAGCAGAGTTCTTATTAAGTGCCACACACTTTTTACATGTATTATGTCCATTGATTTTCATAATTACCATGTTTCCCTCTGCCCCTGTACCTACAATACGGCACATATGTCCCCTTCCTTAAAAACATAACAAAATAAATCAACAGCAGAGTTCTTGTTAAGTGCCACACACTTTTTACATGTATTATGTCCATTGATTTTCATAATTATTTCTAAAAGAAGTTAATGCCACCTTTATTTCACAGTCAGAGAAACAAAAACTTGAAGTAACTTGTAGCTGCTGAATGACAGAGTCGGTAGCAGTCTAGATATGCTTCTTTTTGTTTTGTATTTTTGACTTTTTGAGATGGTCTCCCAGCAGTCCCAGCTGGCCTGGAACTCACTGTGTAGACCAGGCTGGCCTCAAACTCAGAGATCTTCTTGCTTCTGCCTCCTGAGTGCTGGGATTAAAGGTGTGCACCACCA